CTTATATACACCCCTATATCACATCTACCTTAATTCTTTGGGATTTTAAAAATTATTTTGTGTGTGTATGTGTGCATTGCATGTGTGCGTGCTGGCCACACGTGTGCACACCAGTCCTGGGGCTTCAACTCAGGGCCTCAGTGTTGTCTTTGAGCACTGTGTTCAAGGCTAGTGCTCTACCACTTGAGCTACAACTCCATTTCCAGCTTTTTAAAAATAGTTAGAGATAAGAGTCTATCAAACTTTCTTGCCCAGACTGGCTTTGAACCATGATCCTCAGATCTGAGCTTCCTAGCTTGATTTTATGATTTCATAATGAAAATTATTCTCTGATACGGATGGTCAGGGGGAATACTATGAGTGACGTTGGGGAGCACTGAGCGAGCAGCTCCCCGACTGCTGACTGCACATACTACTAAGGGTGGCCAAGGTCTTTGGTCTCACTAACACGGGAGCAGCAGCTATTAGCTTCCCTTCCCTCCCATGAAAGGAAGCTCTATGAGCAAACCCACCTTAGTGAGCACTTAGTCGTTTCCTAGAGAACTGACCTTGTAGCTTTGTCCATATGTTGAAGAACAGGTGGGAAGGAGATCCTATTTGCTACTGTACAGCTGTGCTGATTATACCCATGTACAACAAGCCCCAACAAAAATAGAAGGAAATCATGAAGTTATTGGAAGGAAGCAGAGAACAAGAAAAATGATGAAGAAAGACTGGGCTTAGAAGACTCTCAATTCTGCAGTGAATTAGTGTTCCTGAATGCAACTTGATAATTATGTGCCTGATGGTTTCTCCAATTAGACATCTCTCCACCATGTCACAGGAGGTGGTGTAATTTGCAAATTAGGTCCATTTTATGTCCATAAAGATTTTATTAAACCAGGAACCAAAAGAAGATGAAAATCAGGCAGAATTTGAGTTGTGCTTCTGGCCTTTGCTCTATGTGAAGACGAGAAATTGAAGAGCTGGGTTTTTTTTCCCCCAAGACCTTGGCTTTCCCAGTTGTTTCAGTAGAAACAACACAGAGCATGCTCAAACCCAGCCTTGCGACACTCTCTTGGGACACGGGGTTGTAAATGAAACCTTAAATTCTTAGCCTAGGCAGGGTGGCCTAGATCATCATGGATTCAGCTCCAAAAGTCTTATTCCTAGTCTGTGCTCCGGTAAGTAGCAGCCAGAGGCTGTAAATCCAGAATTTGAACAATTTGGGGGAGGGAAACCTGGGTGTATTGATACTATTGCTTAAGAGCAAATAGAGATGGGCCCTGATGGCTCACACCTGTCATCTTAGCTATTCAGGAGGCTGAAATCTGAGGATCATGGTTCGAAGCCAGTCCTTGCAGAAAAGTCTATGAGACCCTTGTCCCTAATTAATCCACTAAAAAGCCAAATGTGGGGTTGTAGCTCAAGAAGTAGAGTGCTAGCTTTCATGAAGAAGAACACAAAAAGTCCCTCACATCAAAGAATTTGAAATGTCAGTGAAGCCAAAGTTGAGGAATCCTAATGCATAGATAATGTATACAGATTTTTGCCTGATAGTACACACCTAGAATCCCAGCTACACAGGAGATGGACAGGCAGGAGAATCACAGACTGAGGCCAGCCTGGCCAAAGCAAAACAGACTGGTGGCATGGCTCAAGTGATAAAGCACGTGCCTAATAAACACATGGCTTAAGGTCACTTGGGAAGAAAAGGACTAGAACATGGCTCAAGTGGTAGAACATTTGCCTAGCAAGAACGATGCCCTGGAAGACTGCAAAACAATAAAAACAATGAAGTACTGCATACAAATTTATGGCATAAAATACATGGGTGCTGAATCAATGCATTCTAACTTACATGGCCACTGAATGGCAGGGCTGAGGTTTGGAGTCTGTGATTTCATGGGCTGAAATTCAGAAATATTTACTCAGGTCAAATTCCCAAACTATAGCATTCAATTAGTTGAAAATTTCTGTGTGTTTAATGCAATGAGGACAACTGAGGTATTTTTGAGTCTTTTTTAAGTTTTGTTTTGTTTGTTTTGTGCTGGGGCTGGGGCTTGAACTCAGGGAATAGGTGCTGTCCCTGAGATTTTTTTTTTTATCAAGGCTAAGCTTCACTTTCAGCCTTTCAGTGGTTAATTGGAGATGAGTCTCACAGACTTTCCTGCCTGGACCATCCTCAGATCCCAGCCTCCTGAGTATGGAGGTTGACAGGTGTGAGCCCGCCAGTGCCCAGCAGGAAGATAAATGTAAAGCAGTCTTTGTCTCCTGCCTGGCCAAAACAGCCCAAGTACGTGGAGATGAGACAGAAACAGGACACAGATGGTGTATTGCCTTCCTTATACACACACACACACTCTCTCTCTCTTTCTGCTTTCTTCCAGTAATGGCTGCTGGACCCACAGAAGTCACCCTGCAGTGCCATGCAGCACAGGGGCACAGGGCCAGGCATCGAGATCATTTCCTGGTCATGTCTGAGGCCTGACCCCTGGAGCTGCTATGGGCTATTAGGTTACTCAGTACTGGTAGTTCCCACCACGAGGAGAGATTTTCGAAAAGGTTTTTGATTCGCCCCTCTTCTCCTCACATGTCTCCGTGTCTCCTGAGGCTAGTATGTGTGCATGCTTGTATCTGTGTCTGTTGAGATGGAATCACACTCGCCTAGGACTGAGGAGGCCATAGACTCAGAATTGGTTCTAGATAGACAGCTAAGGGTAGGAATGGCGCCTGCAACAGACAGCAGGCCTAAATGTGTTTCAGGCCTCGCTGCACACGGAGGCAGCTCCTTCAACCCTCAGGCCCGGAGCTGAAACAGGGGTCATCACACACCTAGAGTATCCTGTGGGTCCCCACCACCCAATCCAGTGTTCCATGCTGCTTCTTCTAGGACAAGATCTGGGTGGACTTTCCAGCTGCACACCTCCCGCCCTCAACCTAGAGGCCACGCAGGCCCCACTTGGATGCTTTCTGCATAAATGATGGGTCGTAAGGTCTTCTCAGGAACCCCCGAGGCTCCCACTAACCCAGAAGTTGAGCAGAAGCATTGAATGGGCCACAAGGCAGGAGGCTCTGCTCCTCCCAGGAAGAAAGGCTCTTGAGAGTTCACTAACCTGGTTGTTTAAATATAGGAGCGGAAACAGATGCTGGCTGAGGCGGAAGTTTCTAAGGAGAGCAGGGTTTTGGATAGTGGCTTGCCAAGGCTGATAAGAGCACAGGGTGGGCTCCAAGCTCAGCCTCTACTGACCTCCTTTGGAGCCTTGCTGACATCCCCTTGAACCATCACCAGCAGAACTTGGCTCCTCGGCAAGCTTCTCCTCATGACTGAGACAGCGCAGGGGGTTATTTTGAAGCAGATCTTTGTGACTTCCTTTCGGTTTGCATCCTACTCCCCTTCCTCCAGTGCCCTGAGAGCAGCGGCTTCCTGCCCAGGCCAGATCTGCAGAGGTGTGGGCTGCTAGGCCTTAGGAGGTGAGGACCGGCTGCAGGTAGATAGTGGCATGGCTCACCACATGGTTGAGGGTAGAAAGGTCAGAAGCATTGTCTGAGCAGACACGCACCCCATTGGTCTTCTGTATAAGAGAACTCGGAGCCCCAGGCCCAGGTCCTGGCCTCAGAAAGGACTTAGGCAGATCAGTCACTCAGGAGTCTTGTGGCCCAATCTACACCTTCCAGATGAATACAGGAATGCTGTTGAGGTGTCTCCCAGCCAGTCATCCAGGACACTCCTGGGATGTGCTGACCTCTGTGGTGTGTGGGGACACTCCTTCCTGTGTCCCCCAGCACAGAGAGTGCTTGGGGGACCATGTCTGGCTGGTGCTCCACCAGCATCCTCAAATTGTGTCCTGGATGACTCACAGCAACTGTCTCTCTCTTCCTCCACCCACTATAGTAGAGCAGGGGAGAGGAGCTGGCGTCGCTGAGACTTCTGGGGACTGTCCCAGCCACAGGCCCTATGCATTGTTGCCTCTGGCTTCCTTTGGTCCCTAGCCCACAGGGAAGAGGCCTCAAGGGCAGCTAAGCTAGGGCCTGTGATACAAGGGACAGTTAGCTCCTGGCAGGGACTTCCTTCACTGTCAACTTCTGGAAGGAGATGGTCAGGGTCCTCAAGAGATCTGGAAAGCCCCGTCCTCTCCCACTCTCTTAGGTCTTTTACTGGCTCATCAAACACAGGGGCCTAAGGCCTGCCAGAATACAGTTTAAAACACTGGTACTTCCTCTCCAAGGCACAGAGCACCAGACTCTGTTCTCTGCAGGCTCTGTTCTCTCCTGGTAGAGCAGCCTCTGTGAAATCAGGCAGGAGTAGCTATAACCACAGTAACCACACAGATTTTAGCAGCTAACATAATATTTAGTGCCTTCCCTTTGGTCAACACAGGGAAGAGTTCTCTTCTAGCCAGTAAGTAAAAGGAGAGGGGCTTTGGGAAGCCCAGAGTGGTCTTGGGACCTACATATGTCCTGTACTATACCTGGTAGTAGCTTTCTATAGTGCCCTCATCCTCTGCTCATCTCCCACAGCCCCTACCAACAGCTCCCCTCTAGCAGCCTGCCGCTCCTCCACCCCCAGTCAGCAGCTGCCCCTGTCTCCCTGCAGATGTTTCCAGTTGCAGACTGCATGGGGTTCATGTTGGTCATTTGTTCCATCTGCTCAGAAACAACAGCAAGCATTATTGGCAGGAAACAGAGAGTGCCAAGTCCAGGACAACACAAAAAGACCTAGTCATGGGCACTGGGTTGGGGCAGAGTGAGGATGGGTTGAACCATCTGTGTGGATCCAAACTTCTGTCGGCCCTGCCAAAGTCATGGGTCACAGAGGCCGTGTCTGGGAATGACCAGAACAGGCCAGTTGACTCATCCATGAGGAAGAGACAAGGTCAGAACAGGGGTTCTCTGGGAGGTCTGCGTGTGATCAGAGAGCCTGGCTTCATAGTCCAGCACAAGGCCACCCTCTCAAGCTAGAGAAAACTCTACTACGTCGCCCCTATGAAATCAGGAATGATTCTTGGGTTAATAAGTGATTAGGGGACGTCTGGTATTAAAGGTCAAGAGCCAAGATGAATGAAATTATGGCCTGCATGTCCCCCGCTTGTCACAGCAGCTGTTCTGGCAGGAGCTGACAGTAATAGCCTCAGTTGCTGTTATTTGGCAATCTTCACACCCTGCCCAGGAGGAGGCCCCTTCACAGCCTCGAGGAATGCTGACTGACCTGGCAAGCGCGGCAGAATGAGTGACGAGGGAGAAACAGAAACTATAATTATTGCTCTGAATAGTCAGACTCTTGAGATCCCGCCCTCGCTTGCAGGCCTCACTTGCAGCAACTGAGTTGTTCTGAGTAGCGCTTGTGGCCAAGCAGCTTACATACCTAGAGACTGCCCAATGTTAGACCCCGGGCTTACAAAGAAGGGAGAATGCTATTGGGGAAGCAGGCCTGCAGCCCTTCTCCCGCTGATCAGCCTCGCCCAGTCAGCTGGGGATGAAGGAGAGGAAGTCTTCACTTCCTTTTGTCTCTGTGGGATGTGTCCAGTTTCTGAAGCCAGGAGCCCTGTTGGGAAATAAGGAACCATAAAAGATCTCCTCCAGTGGGCACTGGTGGTTCCCACCTGTAGTCTTAGTCACTCAGGAGGCTGAGATCAGAAGATCAAAATTCAAAGCCAGCCTAGACAGGGAAAGTCCATGAGACTTACCTGCAATAAAACTGGAAGGGGAGCTGGGGCTTAACTGGTAGAGCACTAGCCTTGAACAACAACAACAACAACAAAAGTTCAGGGATAGCCACCCAGACCCTGAGTTCAAGCCCTAACACACACACACACACATACACACACGAAAAAATAAGAAAGGAAGAAAAAGAAGAGACAGAATGAAAAAGAAAGAAAGAAGACTGAAAGAAGAAAAGGAAGAAAGGAAGGAAGGAAAGAAAGAAAGAAGGAAGAAAGGAAAGAAAAGAAAGAAAGTAGGAAAGAAGGAAAGAAAAGAAAGAAAGTAGGAAAGAAAGGAGAAAAAATAAAGATCTCTTCCCACAGAGGACTGCAGGGTTGGGGGCAGGATGGTTGGTTTGATGGGATTGTCTCTGAGTTCGGCATGTATGAAAACATCCTCTCCTTGTCTCTCCTTGTGACTACCCAAGACTTTGGTAGGGGGACACAGGATTCCACAGCAGCCGTGGGCCTGGGCTATTTCACTCCATCCTCAGAGAACTATCTTGAAGACACTAGGAAATTAAACAACATGGCCAAGGTTATCTATTTGGAAATAAGAGGTTCTGAGATAGCTGGCTGGGGACAGAGGGAGAGTGACTTCTCCTCCGGCACGTGTCTTGGTGGGTGCAGAGTGGAGCAGGCCTGACACCTGGAGGGAGAAGCACTAGTGTGCTTGCAGGGGTGGCAAGCATCTCGCTGTAGTTGTGCACAGACGGCCATAGCTCTGGATGCTGTCAATTTAAAAAGGCCCTGCCAATGTGGAGTGACCCGACTGCTGGGTTTATTTGCATAGATGGACAGACTGATTGGCCAAGGAGAAAGTATGATCATGCAGAAAGAAGCACTCACTGAGTGAATTCTTGGTTGGACACCAGGCTGTTCAGCTGGGAATCTGGACTGATGGGGACCAGAAATAGAAATGAGCCAGTGAAGGAGTTAGCCAGCCAGGAAACCTGGCAGCTGTTCTAGTTTTGACCTTAAACCAGCTGCTGGAGCATCCATTTCTTCTGGCACTCCCTCCCTCTCCAAATCTACTATGTACTGAGAAACCCAACCTGAGCACTGATGAGGGACAACATGTCAAGCTAAGCAGTCAACCAGGGCCAGGGCTGGTTCCAGGTCCTGCAGCTAAAGCATGGAGTAGACAAGAAAGGAAAGCAGGGACGAGATAATGAATAAATGAGTTCTGATTGTAAAATGCGTAACAGAAATTAGCAGAGCAAGAGGATAGTATGTGTATGTGCCTGCATGTGTGAGGAAGAATTACTTGATTTCACTTTTTTATTTCTCTTATTGGTACTGGAGATTGAACTCAGGACCTTGAACTCTTGCTTAGCTTTTCTGCTCAAGGTTGGCACTCAACCACTAGAGCCATACTTCCACCAGCATTTTTGGCTCATGGACTTGTCTCCTGGGGCTGGCTTTAAACCTCAATCTTCAGATCTCAGCCTCTGAGCAGCTAGGGTTATAGGCACGAGCCACTGGTGGTTGGCAAGGCATCATTTTAAATCACAGAGATGAGAGTGAAATGAGCCACACTAGGTAAAAATGCAGAAGTCACTGAATGCCATGTAAAAGCAAGATATTCTCTCAGAGGGCCCCTTTAGCTAGACTCAAATACACCCCATGGTGTATTCCTACCTGTACTGGTTTAGGATGGAAATTACAAGATGTAAAAAAAAAATCCATTTTTGTTGAGGTCGAAGTCCCCCAGATCCCTCTCGATTCCTCACTGAACACAGAGAGATGGTTGCCATTCTTGCAAGTGGAAAGAAAACAGACCTGGGAATAGTGCATTACGTATTTGCGCCTAGAGTTTATCACAGGTCTCCTCTGTACTAAGTGCTATTTTAAGCTCTAGGTGTTTGGAAAAAAGAAATGGGAGTGGGAAGGAGAGACAAAGATAAGTAATGTATACTTTATTTAAGGTGATGACTAGCTACTGGGAGAAGCAGTCATATAAGTAAATAATACCGAAATGTGTACAAAAAGTTCAAGTGGTGTAATGTAGAAGCCAGTGTTCAACGGATGTAGTTGTTCGCATCCTTTGTGGCAGTGTATGCAAAGAAATGACCAGGAAGGCTGCCTGGGGATTACAGATGGCGCCATTCCCAAAAGCTCTCTAATGTGACTAGACTTTATTGCTCTAAGGACTGTTTTGAGAGATTTCCCCCAAAGACTGACTTCAAATGAGAGAGTATTTTCAGTCTCATCATTATTTTTTTCCTCTGCCAAACTGATCATCTAAAATATGACTGTGGACCACACGTAGAAAAAAAAATACTCACATTCAAGACATGAGGCGCCTAGAAAGAATATGTACATGTACACGACAAACTGGAATAATCAACCAGCAGTAATGTGCCAAAAAAAAAAAAACCAACACTAAGTCTCCTGATGTCAGTTCTGTCTTTGCAAAAGAGAGACAGACAGACAGAGAATGTATGTATACCAGGGCTTGAACTCAGGGACTTAGGGTCTGGTGCTTTCCCTTAGCTTTTTTTTTTTCTCAAGGATGTCACTCTATCACTTGGGCTATAACTGCACTTCTGGCTTTTTGTTGGTTAATTGGAGATAAGAGCCCCTTGGATGTATTCTCCCAGGCTGAGATCTGATCCCCAGATCTCAACTCGCCTGAAAAGGCCAGGAAAATAATGGCCCTGAAAATGGGAGGATG